CTGGGAGACAGAGCAAGACTCCATCTCAATCAAATAAATATATAAAGTATGGACTTTATTGTTAATATATTAATATTGGTTCATTGATTCTGACAAATACACCACACTAACGTATCATGTTAACAATAGAGGAAAGTTGGCTGTAGAGTATGTGATAATTCTCTGCACTTTCTTTGCAGTTTGTCTATAAACTGAAACCTATTCTAAAATGAAAAGCTCATTCAAACATTCAAAACATGAAAAGCTCGTTCAAAGCTTCTAACTGGAAAGCTGAACCGGGCACCAAGTGGAAAGCTGAACTGTGGATTAGGGAGAGAGCAAATGCCGGATCAGAAGTCTGAACACCAGGTGAGTTAGGAACACGGGGTTGTAAGCTCCTCCAAGGCAAAGTCTTGGTCTGAGATGTCCTTCTCTCTCCACCCCTGACACCACACCTAGTGCACTCGGAACTCAAGATTGAAATGGGTGAGGACAACAACAATGCAAAGCCAGGCTTCCATGCTCCTCTGTAGGCTCTCCCTAATACCCAAGAGTGGGCCAGTGTAAGGCATTCCTGCAGGCCACTAGATGCAGGGTTCCTGGAATGGCCCTCCTGGGGATGAGGAAGGGTATCTAGAGACCAGAGACTTTTCATTAATAAGTCATCGCATTCATAAAGAAGGGGAAGTAGCTGCCAGAGGTGATGAGAGAAGAGAGAGCATAGTTGGTTTCCTGAGGCTGGTAATGGATCCGTAATGACCAATTCACACTTCCAAGTCTAGACTCTTTCCCCTATGGTCAGCAGGACGATGCTCAATGACTGGGGGAAGCTGCAGTGTGGTCTCCCTAGAGGAGGGAGGAGCTTGAAGACATTGTTGGAAGCTTTAAACAGCTTCAAGGATGGGGAGGAAGTGGGGAAGCAGTGAGTGGGGAAGGAGAAAGCGTGGTCAGGCAGGTTTGAAGGCCCACATGACAGCCACTTCCCAGGGGTAGGGGAATTTCCACAGCAGCAATCAGCAGCTCACTAGAGAAAGGGAAGGTGGGCAGCCACATGCTGAGAGGAAAGGGAATCAGGCTGTGGTTTTTTGAATCGTGGGTTCAAAGCAGAATGGGGAAGGGAGAAGAGACAGAAGGGGAGCTGGTGGGAGGAAACAGAGGACCTGCTCAGGACATCAAGCACCCCAACCAGCTCCTGTCAGCTTCAGAGATTCTGTCTTGAAAAGAGTTGTAGCAGAGATGAGATCTTGCCCTGTCTTTGCTTTTGTAATTATCTGTGCTACCAGAAAGGGGTGCAGATCCAGACCCCAAGAGAGGGTTCTTCGATCTCACACAAGAAAGAATTTGGGGCAAGTCCATAGAGTAAAGTGAAAGCAAGTTTGTTAAGAAAGTAAAGGAATAAAGAATGGCTACTCCACAGACAGAGCAGCAGCTTGGGCTGCTCAACTGTTAGTACTTATAGTTATTTCTTGATTATATGCTAAACAAGGGGTGGATTATTCATGAGTTTTCCAGGAAAGGGGTGGGCAATTCCTGGAACTGAGGGTTCCTCTCCCTTTTAGACCATATAGGGTAACTTCCTGACATTGCCATGGCATCTGTAAACTGTCATGGTGCTGGTGGGAGTGTCTTTTAGCATGCTAATGCATTATAATTAGCACATAATGAGCAGTGAGGACGACCAGAGGTCACTTTCATCACCATCTTGGTTTTGGCAGGTTTTGGCTGGCTTCTTTACCGCATGCTTTATCAGCAAGGTCTTTATGACCTGTATCTTGTGTCAACCTCCTATCTCATCCTGTGACTGAGAATGCCCAATCCCCTGGCAAGGCAGCCCAGTAGGTCTCAGGCTCATTTTACCCAGCCCCATTCAAGATGGAGCCATTCTGGTTCAAACACCTCTGACATCTGGGAATTGAACTTACTGTGATCCCTTTACTACCAGAAGATTCCCTCTATTTCATACTTAGGGATAAATAGAAACCATCATTTGTTAATTTATTCATTCACTCATTCATTCATTCCTTCATCAGTTGCTGTGTGCTTACAATGTGCTCTGCACATATTGGGTCCTGCTAACTTGGAGCCGAACCATGCGGAAATAAGCTTTTTCTTCTTTACCCCTTCAGATGGGACATAAATTCTCCGTTTATTTCCCTAACATTCAGCTCTTAAGTCAGCAGGGCCCAGTGTTCACACAGTGCATTATAAACACACAATATTGGATAAAGGGATGAATGAATAGGTGAATGAACAAGTAACAAATAATGTTTCCTATTCATGTGAGTGTAAATATGCTCATCCACTAGGTGCAAACTGAAAATACCCTACTTTTGCCATTTTTTTTTTTAGACAGAGTCTCACTCTGTTGCCCAGGTTGGAGTGTGGTGGCCCGGTCTTGGCTTGGTGCAACCTCTGCCTCCCAGGTTCAAGAAGTTCTCCTGCCTCAGCCTCCCAAGTAACTGGGATCACAGGCACCTGCCACCTCTATTAGCACATGCCCAGCTAATAGAAACGGGGTTTCACCATGTTGGCCAGGCTGGTCTCAAACTTCTGACCTCATAAAGCACTGGGATTACAGGCATGAGCCACTGCGCCCAGCTGAAATGTTTTAGGTATAATTTGATATGGTAACATGCTTACATCTTTTTCCCCCTTTCACACAGCTAGGAACTCTGCCTTGCATGACTCATAAGAGGACAACTTGTTGTGTTTTCACTTATGTATATCCCTCATGTAACTGCCACCTAGATCAAGACACAGAACATTTCCAGAACCCCAGACCCTTCCCTTATGCCCTTCAAGTCGGCCTCCCTCACCTTCAGAGATAATGAATATTCTCACTTTTATTATCATAGAGTCAGAAGATGTAGTGCATTTGATTAGGTTTTTTCAGGGGAGTTGGGAAGAACTATCCCAAAGTCGCTGAAGTCAGTATCCGGTGGCTCAATGAGATGAAGTGCCCACTAAAACTGGAAATAGGTTTGCCCTCTGCCTCAGCCAGGAAAACAAGACATATCAAGTAAGGCCAGGCTCGGTGTCTCACACCTGTAATCCCAGCACTTTGGGAGGCCGAGTCAGGTGGATCACCTGAGGTCAGAAGTTCGAGACCAGCCTGGTCAACATGGTAAAACCCCATTTCTACTAAAAATACAAAAATTATCCCAGCATAGTGGAGGGCGCTTGTAATTCCAGCTACTTAGGAGGCTGTGGCAGGGGAACCGTTTGAACCCAGGAGATGGAGGTTGCAGTGAGCGGAGAT